ACGATATTCAGGAACTCTTCGATTTTATAGGACAGGAAAAATAATACTTTAGCCAGATTATTATTCAGCCAGGTGTCTCGACCATATCTGATTCCATTTTATTTTTTTTACTTTTACGTTAGACATGATTATAAATTCCATCATGTGTGCTACAGATTCCAGTATCAGAATAGGTTCCTTTCTTACAGATAGGGCATATTGTTCTAGGAAGAGCATTAAAATGTCAGGAATACCTAATTCACATCAGCATCCTTTCTCACAAATTGAACTATCTCTTGTATTGGCAGGTTAGACGATCCATACTAGGTAATTTTAATATTAATAATCTCAAAACTTCATCTTCACTTTTATTATAGATATTCAAAAATGTGTTATGTCGGTCTAAAGTATAAGCTATATTATCTTTATTTTTTTTTCGTGCCTCTCTAGCCAGTATTTTTATAAACAGGTTTGGTATGATCCGTATAAAAGTCAGTCTGAGAATATGTAAGCTTATTATAGAATACATACCTTTTTTGGATGGTGACTTATAATGTCTGACATATCTAGTCTTATGCAAGCATCTTTTTCCGCAGATAGACCCATCTTTTTTGATATATTGGCAAAACCAAGATGATAAATTAGAAGCAATCTCTTTAGAATCCTCTGAATCAGCTGTATTTCCACTAAAATTCATAGTACTTCTTTTTGGAAAAGTTATTAAGATTAATATATGTTAAACTTCCCTTCATTTTTTATTATAGATCTGATAAATATTCAAAAATATGACACATGTCTTCTGAAAAAATGGGAATTATTTTTTATTTTAAAGATTTGATTTTCTTAATGTACATATACCAAAAAAATTCTACTAATCTATTTATCATTGACATAGCTACCAAAACGGCTATTCCAAAGACCTGAAAACTTAAAGCTAATAACTATGTTTTGATATTAGAGTAGTTCCTAGAAAAGCATAATTTGTCAGTTGACTCCACCCCAGAACAATTAAGCAAACATGCTTCTGAACTTGGTGCTTTGCTTCCTAATGATTGGATGGCCCGCAGATGTGTTAAAGTTGCTCTTGCTAACAGTACTAATAATAGACATTTATTTAGTAAAGAGAAGATAGACGTTTTCATGCTGGATAGAAGAAAGAAAAACCTCACTATTGAGGAAAGGGCAGAATACTGTGCTAATGTCGTTAATTTTATAGACATTATCGCTAATCATTGAGCAGTGGATCTGAAAAATAAAGATGAAAAAGAAATCGTTACCAGTATCTCGCACCAGTTAACATTTCGTGTGAAGTTAGCAGAAGGTGGTGTAAGTCCTGCAATTATTGAAGAATTTGCCAAAGACAAGAATCTTATCCAAGATTCTAATAAAATTCAGAAAGAACGAACTAAAAAGCGAATGGCTAATCTGAATAGAATTCCTATACATTTCTCCTTAGCAAATATGAGTAAAATGATTCAAAATATGGATATTTCCAAAATTCCTACTAGAGAGAATCTTACAAATGTGATAGTGATGTTGAGTATGAGACCTGCGGAAGTAAGTTCTTCTCAGATTAATATCTATAAATCAAACTCTTTAAATATTCCATTATGGTATAAAAAGGGCTATTCTTGGTACTGTACTGGCTATTTAAAGAACAGAGGAGAAAAAAGAAGAATCCTGATCCTCGACTATTTCTTTCTATGAAAAAGAATCCAGAACGCGCAAGAGAATTGCTTACCTAGATTCAAGATACAATTAAGGCTAAAAAGTTATTTGACCCTGTATTTACTGAAAGTGGAACATGTAATGCTTGGCCATTTAATGAATTCTTAAAGCAAGAACCTTATAAAACTATACCTAAAAAATTAAGAGATTATAGAAGTAAGCACACTTCCAGAATTCATGGTAGTAAGAACCCAACTCTCTAGCATCTTAAACTGCTTTTGAGAATCGTATTAAGGCAAGAATCTGACCGTCTTGATGTGGGAGATAATTACGCTATAGGCGATACAGAATCAGAGGAGTCCAGCCCTAAATCTGATCACAACCTAGAACTGAGATCAGAGTCTGTGGAAAATGATGAAATGTCTGAAATTATCAATATGCATAGCTACTAACAACGCACTTTTAGCGGCTACCGATCTTGATCTACCATTCAATCCAAAGAAGGAGGTGTCTATCATTTAAAAAAATTAATCATATATATTAAAATAGATATAATGTATCGCAAGCATAGTCTCGAGCTTTGTATTTATTTTTGCATGTATTAATATTTTTTTTCTTGGCAAGGTCCCTTCAGGAGACCGCAAAATGCTGAAAATCAATCAATGTAATTCCTCAAAGTTTAGAGCAGTTTGGAGATGAAAATTTAAATTTCAGCGACCTTAGATTGCCCAAATCGAATACAAAATAACCTATATTTTTATTGATTTTAAATACTTATATATAGTATGAGTGATATTAATCATGTCATCTGAGCTTGAAGTATTGAAACAGCATATCGTTAAACTTGAGGTTAAGAATGCCAAGCTTGAGGCAGAAAAAGCTGAACTTTTAAAGCGGATTGTGGAGGAAAATACTAGACGTGATGTTAGAGTTGAGAAACTGGAGCAAAAAAATAAGGAGCTTGAGACCAGACTTGCGATAGTAAAACAGGCTTTTTTACCAGTGAAAGAGCAGTCGTATAATGATAATCCTTCTGACAATAGTACATCTAACTTTAATTCAGTTGCGGAATATTATGAGAAACTATTAGTATATGTGAAAATGGATAATTCCTTTCCTGAAGAGGATTGCTATAATAAACAAGAACTGGTGGCGATGATATCTGTCAACTTTGCGAAGCATCTTAACGGCAAACTGTTAGAAGAGAAAAATATAAATAGTTTCTTGCTTGAGGCTTATAAGAAAATCATTAGTGATGAAATAAAGCAGCGAGAGGAGAAATTTTAACGTGATTCGACAGTTACCAGCTCATCATATAACTCTGAAAAAGATGATCAGATGATTTCAGAAATTTTAGGAGAATTCAAAAAAACCATTCCTTCAGGAAACGATCAGAGTCTTGTGACTTCAGGTAAACTAAATCTTCTATCTGTGAAGCAAAACGATGACATGATTCAAGAGGAATCGCTTGATGAAAATTAAATCATAGAACAAGACCTAATATATAAATTATGTTCACCTATATCACCTGAAGAGGTTTCAGATGGACAAGATAATATCAAAGTCATCAGCTCTTGCGTTAGTTTAGAGAATATGATTTCAGATTCTGCCCAACACTTATCTTATTTATTTGAAATAGTAGTAAAATCCAGTCAGCAGAAAATATTAGACTGGCATAATTATTCTTTTGAATTTGAGAGCAAGATAGATGCTCTTACGGCTGATGGTAGAATTAAGGATAAAATGACAAGATCAATGATTTACAAGAAAATAAAACTATTTCTTCTTACTAAAATCACACAAGCTAACTTGCGTAAAAAAACTCATAAGGCCAGAAAACATCATATGTTATTCAGAAAAAATGGGGTTGGAATAGATAAAATTAAGCTGGTCTCATATAGCGCAACTGAAATTTTGAAACTAACTAACGTACAAATCCAAAATGTCATAAATCAAGTAAAAAAATATACTAGCAAACATCAGAGTCATGTGAATTTAAAAACCGTTTCCTTAAGAAATGATCAAATTAAGGCTAAGGTAAGTACATTGGCAAATATATTACCTTCACTTCAATCCAAGAATCCACTCCATAACCACTCCTATTTTCGCAACAAAACATTAGACCAATATCCTGCTTTATATAAAGAATTTAGTAGTGAAAATTTTGATTATTATGGTATTACTGATGAGACATCATGCCTATTATGCAGTTTAGATCATGATGACGAGGAAAGTATAGAAGGTATGTATAAATCTGGATCTTATTTTATTAAATGTAAACAGCATGAAATTGAGATAACTGCATAGTTTCATTACCCTTTCTTATATTATAAATACTTCAAAAGATAATCTAATTATTTTTTTGGAAATATGATAAGAAATAGTAGACAGCTTTCTATCCAGGAATTTAAATTGATCTGTAATTGTATAAAAGGCAATATGAGAAAGTCTGATAAAGTATTAACCCTCAATTATCTGGATTGGCTTGCCAAATTAACTGGTTTACCATGTGTTTTGACGGATAAGATTCAGTCCAGCTTATACAAAAAATATAAAAAAGAAACTGGGTATGATCTATGGCAATTATCAGAAGCACATGCATCAGAAGCTAGCCTTCTCGTAAATTCAAAGCCAGAAAACAAAGCATCCTATTTATCTTTTCCTAAGCAATGTGAAGAAAATGGGCCTATCACTTTCAAAGCTAAACCTGATCCAGAATTAATTATCAGATCCGTGTTAGAGCATTTCACATACCTGAAATTCTGAAATAACTTTAGAGGGATTGATAATTATAATTTTACATCTGCTCAGCCGTGGGATTCATCATGCCCTATCTGCGATGGAAAACATGGGAATTATGGATTACATGGCTCATGGTACTGCGAAAATGGGAATCAGTTCCCTTATGATCCTGAGTTAGCGAAATTGTATTTCCAAGATAAGTTGGAATATTGTCTTACCTGCAACACTTCAAGCAATAAACTCAAGTTTGCAATTATAGCATAGAAGCTTATCGAGCTAGTCCTGCACTTGTATTTATTTTTTTCATCACTCATAAATAAAGAATCTTTAAAAAAGTAACGATGTCAGAGGCTGTGACCACGGGTCACGATCTTAAAGTTTAGACTTTTTTTTTATATGCAGTATTGTAAAACTCCATCAATTCCTGTTACACCAATTTCTTGACAAGACAGGATCCTCTCTAACGCCAAGTCACGTGAAATTCAACTGAAATGATCCAATCGTTCGGGTGCGACAAAAAAATTTTTTATATTTCTTTCCTCCCCACTTTCTCGATAAATCGATAATCAATCAATAAAATGACGGCGAAATTAAAAAAATTTTGTTTCTACATGGCTAAAACACCCAAAGCTTATAACCAAGAAATAGACCTTGATAATTTAGACCTCGAACGCTCCTATACTCTTGAAGAGTTCGAGTATATCAACAGCCGGCTGAAAAACTATACTTTGGAAATTGATGGAAAACCTGTAAACCTTTTTGAGCTTGACAAAAACGGAAAACTAGTACCCATGCCACAAACACCGTTTCGTAGAGAACAGGTGGTTGCAGAAATTGCCGGTCAACTTCGTAATTGGAACATACAAACTCAGCAAGGTGGTGGTGTCACTACATCGCAGGGTGGATTTGATTTTGTCATTGATCATGAAACAGCGATTAGGGCACCAGATGTTGCTTTTACACCTAAACATATAGTCCTCCAGCTGACTGATGAACAGGCTTGGACCTTCCAGGGTGCTCCCTTCACCCCTACATTTCTTGTTGAGGTTGCTGATATCGAGGAGGACACAGATAATTCAAAATTCAAGGAAGCAGACGAGAGATTTAAAAATGAACTCATAACACGAAGCACAGTGGTCCAGCTTGGTTGGTTAATCGATCCCCAACATAAGCGAATTTACATATATAGGAGGGGTAGGAGACGTAGTAATCCTGGATGGGGAGATATTAGCGGTGAAAATGTTTTGCCAGGTTTTGTGTTGGATATGTCTTTAATTAATAGAATTATTGATCCGGTACGTTGCTATTCCTTATTTCTTTATTTCTATGTTATAAATTCTATCATTGATATATTTATGGGTTTTTTTATCAGCCACCACCAGCTCCTCAAAGACCTCAAGTTCAATTCAATTGTCCTAAGTGTGCTAATACTTTCAACAACAATTATGAATTCATGAAACACTTCGAAAAAGTCCACTGTATTTAGGAATAGAGTTATATTAATCAACAATAATATAATTATAGCTACAACATATGTATATTACAAAAAGCATGAATTGAATAAAACATAATATTTGCGTATATGTTAAAGACTTCTGGGTCAATCTTTGATGTATTTTACATATGTAAAGTGATATGTTGCTAATCTGTATTACAAAGGATTTGTTATCATTCCGGAATGTTACACTCTTTTTTTTGTTTAGGTATGAGGTTTGGGTCTGTGAAAAATCTTGCGGACTTTGCCAAGGAATGTAAAGAAAGCTCGTTCAGTCGCCGACGAATCTATTGGTTAGATAACCTGTCATGTGAAATAGATCACCTGAAATGCACAGAAGATATTCTTGCCGAAGAATAGGGGCTGTGCGGTGCATATATATCTCTTTCATTATTTTTTTCGCTTGTATAAAAAGTGTTATGGAATCCGAGCTTGCCTTACTTAGAGAAGAAAATGCCAGACTTATGGCCAAGATAACTGGGCTCGAGGAAGCTGAGCTCGAGGCAAGGAATGCTGAGCTTATAGAAAGAATCACGAAACTGGAAGAGAGGCAGTTGGAGAACGTAGTAATAAAAAACTTATTACATGCATCACAAGTATCGCGAAAAACATGATCATATTAATAAAACAATATTCGGGTATGGATATTTTTTCTGGCAATCAATATTCATGACGGAATGTAGTGCGTAATTGCTGGTGAAAATCCGGGGAATGTTTTCTCCTATGAAATTTACAAGTGCTATAAAAACCCATCTTCAGCTTTAGCCAGCAAGATAGCTATTTTTTTCTGACCATGAGAGTGATAAGTGGGCAGGTATGGAGAACCAAGAGAGCTCAGTTAATACGGAAGCGATCACTGCTGATGATATCAATATGGAGGATATCGTAATCACCTCTACTCAAAGCAGTGATATAGCCGAGAAAACGATTGGTATGAACAAATCTCAAATCACCACTCTAGCGCTAAATTTACTCAGCACAAATAGTCTTATTCATTCTACTGACATTCATATTCATGAGATGAAGCCATGTATTTTATGTAAACAAAAGTTCATCTCACATCCGGTGATACTGAAATTAGCCAACTTCGCACCAAAGTTTACCAACTTAAAAGCACTAATGAAAGTCTAAACCGACAATTAAAGTTAGTTCGCCTTAATCGTCCCAGTCCACCAAACTCTCTTCCCATTCCTGATTATGCCCCTAAACTAGATTACTTACCATCGGCCCTTTATGCTCTAATGGCAGTCTGATTCATCCTTTTTTTAAACCGTTCCTGAAAACTAAAAACTTATGAATAACTTCTTCTTAATAGCTCTCAGTTTAGCCCTACTTTACTACTTTTTTTACCGACCCTCAGCAAAAATAACTGCTAACCCACCTTTAAGCAAACAAACTCAAACTAATTTACCCGTGGAAAACAAAACCACTCAAACTAGTTTAGCCACCCAAACTAAATCAGTTCAAACTAATCCAAAACTTGTACCAGAAGTAGTCGAAGCATTACTATCAGACACAATAAAAAATCTAGAAGAAGATTTGACTTCCAGCCGCCAAGCCAATCAAAAGTTATTAGAAGAAGTAAATCTTTTTCAAAAGAATAAAGAACTGATTAAAGAAGCAATCGAATTTCATTTGAATCAAGCACAAGGTTTTCTTTCTACTTATGATATGTCTTGCTCCGCTGCCCGAGAAATAATAAGAAAAAAATTAGCAAGAGAAGGTGAATATACTAACCGTGAACCCAATATAGGATTTGAACAAAACTGCTTAGAGAGATGAAAAAACCAAAAAGAAAAGAATGAAAAGATAGTAAAGAAGTCTCAGGAACTATTAAAAGAGTTAGCAGAGAAAGAAGGCTAAAAAGATTAAAAGCCTTATAAAAAAGTATTATAGTTTTTTATTATGAAAAAAGTTACCAAAAAAAAAGTAAGTAAAAAAAAGAGTAAAAAAGAGCAAGAGTTTGCCAAGTATTTAGAGAGGGTGGAAGACCCTAATTATCAAGGGGGTTCTTGGGCTTTGCCGGAGAATGCTACTACTTCTGAAAAAACTAAATATGAACTGTGTGAAAAAGTAATTAGATATAAGCGAAACAAGCAACTTACCACTGAAAAATTAGCTCAAAAAGTCCAGTTAAGCAAAGCTGAAATGGAAGACATTCTCTACTGTCGAATTGATTATCTTACCCTCGACCGCTTACTCTCCTATACTGATAAATTATTTGCTCCTTCCCAAGTAGAAATAATTATTAAGGAACCAAAACAGCGAAAAAGAATTTTTGCCCGTGCCTAAATCTCCTAATCCGAAAGAAGAAATTTGCGAACATGATTGCCATTTAGTTTTCAATGAGCAAAAAATAGCCAAACTAACCATTACTAATCATTATCAACAAATATGCTTAAAGAACTCTAATTATGACTAAGCAACAACTCCAAAAAGAACTTAAAGAAAAAGTAACAGCAGGAGTCAAACCCTCGGATATCAAAAAACTTAAACGCTCTAAAAGTGCCGATGATATTCCTAATCCACCTACTCCTTTGTTAGCCGACCAACTAACCCAAAAGCAAAAAGAGCTAGAAAGCCTAAAAAAAGCATCCGAAACCAAATCTACTACTATTCGCTTACTAAGAGAAAAACTAGACCGTGATACTAAGGAGCAAGAGATTAAAGCACTTAATTCTCAAATTAAGGAATTAAAGGAGCAATTAGATAATTCCTTGGAAGCCCGCACTAAGGCTCTAAAAGATTATGCTAAACAGCACGAGCAAATTAAAGCTCTTAATCAAGAATTAACTGAAACCATTGACCAAGCCAGCAGTGAACTAAATGCCGGTTTTGATAATAACGCTCTCATACATTAACGGATAGAATGTATCAAATGTATACATACATATATCGGTTATTTATTGATTTTAACATTGACGTTTTGAACTGTCGGATCATTATTTTCATTAAAAACGATATGTAAAAAAAAAAATATTTTTTTTTTTTTCTTTTTTTTTCAAAATGCCAAAAAAAGGATTGTCGTATTTCAAAATTTAAAATTTAAAAAAAAATAATTGATAAAAACATATAATGTGAAAAAAAAAAAGTCTTTTAAACAACATTTAAAACGTATGCTAACATCATCTTTCTAGGACGAGGCAAGTCGTTTGGTGTAAACAAAAAAACATCGTTGCCATTACCG